TAAATTCTTTTTATGAGGAACCTGTAACATCAACACTTCAATTTGATAATGACTATATAAAAAGATTTACAAGTACAAAAACCCTAAATAAAATATGTAAAAACAGAATCCAACAAACTCATTAAAAAATACAGTGTAATTCAGGATTAATTCCAGGAATAAGGGTACAACTACAAAGGTTCAATAGGAGGCCCTCCACCATTAACATGCTCATAAATGTGAATGAGAAAAATCTTGTTGGTTTCTAGATACGAAAAAAGCCTTCAAAATATACTAATCTCTACTAAAAATATTCAATAAAGCAGGACCTGTCAGACACTTCCTTAGCATAAAAGTAACATTAGAAAACATTAATTTATCAGACTTCAATTATCATAGTTTACATAAAGCTGTATTTAAATACCAAAATAGTTATTCTGCAATTCCACATCCAAGTTCCTTGGAAATGCCCTGAAGGTACAGAGGCATCACAGAGCCATCCTCTAGTGCCAGGAATGTGGTAGGAAGGTGTGAGTCAGGGCAGCGCCTCTCTTCTACCTAGAGGGGGGGCCTGGGTCCACACCCACTTTCCTGGTATCTCCAAACTATCTCAGTGGATGAGAGTTACACAAACCTGTAACTCTCACAAACAGAAATACTTGAAAAGATGTTACAAAAGAATCATTGTGATTAGCTAAAAGACAGACTGAGCGTAGACTCAGACTTAAAGGTTTCCATCTGTTATTTATGTATAAAAGGTACTACTTGAGGACTTGGGAGAACTTAAGTAACATCAGACGGTCAAGAGCCAAATGCAAGGTCATGTAAGTTCTGGAAAATTCTTCCCAATCAACAGACATTGATTAATCAAGAAATCCCAAGTAGAAGTGCTGTGAAATTATTTAGAACTATGAAGTCAACCACCAGAAGAATTGGGAAGTATTTCAAATGGTTCCTTGTGGGGTGAGTGTGGAGAGGGAGATCAAGGAGGGCCTGCTGCTCTAGGGGCTGTGTTGCTTTCCTGCTGGTCGGGCAGCTGTTTACAGTGGCCACATCAATCCCCTTGACCGGGCACATCTTTGCTCTTGAAAATCTGACAAAAGGGAAAGAATCAAGGTTTGTATTAGCTTTAACCTACTCAGGCTCCCCCCATCACGGTCCACCAGGCATTCACGGAGGTCCACTGGCGGGGCCGAGGTGCTGGGCCACAACTGCAGCTGCCCCACGCTCCCATGCCACGCTGCCACAGACAGAAAGCCATGCAGCACAGGTCACCCAACCTTAATGATGCAGATTAGAAAACTAGGAATAGTACAGCTGAATAATATCCCTGAACAGTTCTGAAAAGCAGGCTGTCTTCAGGAAGCTTAAAAGGAGAAAGTTCCCAGAACAATTACTTCCCAGAACAGGAAATGGGGAACCACAGTCTATGTAGTCACCCAGCACAGAATGACGGATGCTACTTATCCAGGGTGGACTATCTTACTTCTAATAAGACACACACATGTTTATCACATTATATCACTTGTCTCTGTACATAAGTCTGAGCCTCATGACTTTTTAAAAATTCAACCTATATTTGAACATCAATTGTAACCAGACACAGCACACTCCTGTAATCCCAGCACTGACGGAGTCTGAGGCAGGTGGATTGCAAGTTCAAGTCCCATCTAAGCAACTTTGCAAGACTGTCTCAAAATAAAAAAAATAAAAGGGTTGACAATCAGAAGTGTGAAAATCCTGAGTTCAATAGCTAGTCCTGGGGAAAGAAAGAAGGGAGGAAGGAGGGCAGGCAGGCAGGCAGACAGACAGGAAGGCCATTATAATGAAGACTAAAATGCTTTACAAAGGCGATTACATGGCTCCATTGCATGCCGGCAAAACTTAAGAGACACAATCTTCACTGAAGTCAAGTCAAGCAAAGAATACACAATCCTTAAGAAATAAGCTAATAAACCACAAATAGGTAGTAAATTATAGATTCAAAGACCTCAGTAGGGCCCTCCACTAAATTTATACTGATGCTGCCATTTCTTTCTTTCTTTCTTTGTTGAGACTGTCTTGCTATGTAGTCCAGTCTAACCTTCAACTCACTATGTAGCCCATGCTGGACTCCAAACTCGTGGCAATCTTCCTGCCTCAGTCTTCTGAGTACTGGGATCACAGGCATGTGCCACTATGCCCAGTCTGACACTGCCAATTTCTTGCTCTTTCATGAGCTCTGAGACTGAGTAGTGATGAAAGTGAGCACTGGCCATCAGGAATATTCTTCCTGTCATTCTTAAGCACCATTGTCCCAGATGGTACTATCCTCAATCTGCTTTTGGTCTCTTAGCAACAAGGTGGAGAAGCTAGGAAGGTCTCCACAATTCAAAACTCCCTGTCACACTCAGGCCAGCTCAGATCACACGTAGTTTGTGAAGACTATCATCAGAATTTAAAATTACAATATTCATCTCTGTGACCAATTAAACAAAACTCTTTTGGCATTAGTTTTACTGTACTACATCATGTCTTTAGAAAGAGGTTTAATTTGTCCCTACAGCTATAAAGATACGCCATTACTTAACTAACTGGTCATCAGGCAGAATGACAGTGCTCCAGTCACAAGGCTTTGCTACTCAGGGTGGGAGCACAGGAGTGTCTCATGGGAAGGAATGCTGTCTACCAAGCAGACAAGGTGCAGGGGGTCCGCCTGGCCCATTTCTGCAGATACCTAGACCTATTTTCATCTACTTTACTGACAGCAGCTAAACAAGCAATCCAGACAGTCTGGTAATACAGTGTTGTCACGAAACCAGTGTGGGCTGGGCACACGCACTAAGAGAGGATCACAGTGCCCTCACAGCAGCTAAAGTCTGCAGTGAGGGGATCAGAAACATCTGTGGCAAGGAATACTTACAATGTACCAAGCACCTTCAAACGGCTACCACATCCTCGGAACACGGTTTGTCCCGCTCAAAGCACAAGTGTGCCAGCCCTAAGTATGCAAGCTCCAGTGATACTTAGGTCAGCATGTGGGTTTGGTTAATTCTGCATTAACTCAGGAGCCAGGCATGCAGACAGACTGCTCTGTTTTTAAATAAAGAATAATGGGAAGGGGTAGGGTCAAGTAACACATATTCCAGTCTAGAAAGATAAGGGCATTCGACATCACATGTAACATCGGATTCTAATAGTCCAAAACTGATATAAACTCTTAAGCTTCACAGAGAAACTAGACCTGGCTTTTTGCTTCAAATAATTATGTAATATTATTATGACTTAGAACTCTAAGTACTCTTCTTACCCCAAGCTTTCCAGAAGGCAAGTTTCACTGGAAAGAACACAGCTCTTATTGCCTAAGTAATGCTTGTGTGGTTTTTTAACTATTAAAAGATCTTTCAGGTACTTACTGCATTAAAACACCAGTGATCAAGTCTTCACTCTGAGGTTCTAGAAAAGTCATTTACTCTACCTGGCCCCCTCCCTGGCTCTTTGACAACAAAGAGCTGACAATTTTGATGACTATGAAAATTATCTCATAATTACCATCACCAACATTCATGGTTCTGAATGCTTTACATACTATAACCTCACAAGGTGTTTTACTTTTTTTTTGTTTTTAGAGACAGGGGGTCTTGCCATATAGTTCAAAGAAACCTTGAACTCACCATGGAGCCCAGGTTGTCCTGGTGATGCTCCTGCCTCAGCCTCCCAAGTACTGAGACTGTAAGTATGCACCACCACACCTGTCCTCACAAGTTATAAAATGCACAAATTATAAAGTTATCTTTATTTTGTAGGAAAGCAGAATGAGCCATAAAAAAGCAACATTAACTTGTCCTTATCACAAAACTGTCACACCTAAGTTAACTGTTACAATTTAGATCTAAGCTCTCCCCTAAATGTCAACGGTGTTCAGAGGTGGGGCTTCTGAAGGTGACTAGACCAAGGGGACAGGGTAGCTGACCTGCATTGAGCAGGCAGGGCCTGGCTTGAGTGGGTGCCCTGTGACCTGGAAAGCTGCCTTTTGGTCTGGTCTCCTTGGCTCCTCCCTGCTCTCTGCTCCTTAGATGCCCAGGGATAAGCAGCTGTCCTGTTTCCGGCCCCTTCTGCCAGGCTTCTCTGCCGTCCTGCTTCCCTGTGAAGCTAGCCAACCACTGACTGGAAATTCAAGCTGAGATAAACCTTTTCTGGGTAAGTAATGGGTGTTGGGGATTCAGTCCCAGGATGAGAAAGTGACTCAGCTGCAGGTGTTTTTTGCACAACCTGGGTGAAGACAGTCTTCCTACATGCCCTGTTAATGACAGGCCAGCAACAGTCAGTGATGTTTCTTTAAAAGCAAAAATCCTTTTAGGACCAGTGGCTCAAGTGCTGACCTAGTTTCCTAAAACCAACAAAACACCTCCTGGCCTGAAAGCTGCTGGGTGCTGACTGCTTTTCTCTTTGCCAGTTGTAAACTCTTTCCCCAGGGAAGCACATTTTGATTGAATACACCTGTCATTAAACCCCCCTCCCCCAGTATGAGTTGTTATAACATTCAATTTCATCTGAATGAATGTTAAGTGTAACGTGAAATAAAGGAGGGAATGTTTGGCATCAGCAATGCTAACCAGTACTCCCTAACTAGCTGTATCTGCCAACTGAGAAATAAGGAGCCAGCCATGAAAGCATCCTCTGAGAGGTCCTTGAGGACATGGACCTCCTCTTAATGCATTTTGCCGCCACACTACCACGCACTGCATGAAACTGGCCTGCAACCATTTCCTGGAGGGTTATCAATAACAAGACAGCATCATAATTTGTAGACAAAGAATGACGTTTGCAAAACAAGCCAAAGTACGAAGGGTGTGTTTTGTGAACTAAGAGTCCAAGTTGAATTGTGTACAGAAAAAAAAAAAAAAAAAACCTATAACGATGCCGTCTTTGCTAAGTATGCATCGCTAGTCCTTCGCAAGAATAAAAATCTGCTGAGTGACAGCAGAGGAACCTTCATTTCTCAAAGGAAAAAGAAAACACGCTATTTCTGCCTCTCTCACCCTAAACAGCTGAATCATTCACACTATCAGAGACCAGGATTTCCTCCACGAGCTGTCGGCGGCGCGGCTCTGCCCCTCCCCGCCGCGAAGACCTCAGGGCACCGACGGGATTCCCTGGTGCTGCCGACTTTGGCCGGAGCTGCGTCCTCCCTTGGCAGCCAACAGGCCTGGCCGCGAAGCTGCCTCGCCGACGGGAGAACGCGGAGCCGAACCATCCACCTCGCCGCCGTGCCAGGCCCGGGCCCGGGCCCGGGCCAGGCGCGGTCCATCGGCCGATCCCACAGGAATCCTGCACTCCCGCCGGGCGGCAAACGGCGGCGACGCGCGGGGCCTGAGAGGCTCTGGGAATCCCGAGGGCGCGCCGGGGTTCTGGGCGCAGGCGGGCCGGGGTCTGGGGCTCGAGAGCGCTCGGGCCCGAGTGGTGAGCGAGGCTCTAAAAGGTCCCTGGAGACGACGGGCGCCCGGGCGCGTTCTGGGGTCCGGAGTGAGGGGCTCTGTGGGGACCCCAGGACACGCACACTGGCGCTCACCCGAACAACCCTCGGAGGAAGGAGTGCGAGGCCTTGACTCGCTTCTCGGCCTCCGCCATCAGCTGCACTGCCTCTCGTTCCTTCCCCGCGTTGTCCATGTCGCCGGCCGCTGCTTCACACGCCTCAGCAGGCTAGCGACGCTACAGCGGTCTTCACCACCCTCTAGTGGGCTGGGCGCGGTGCGCAGGCGCGCGGCCGGGCGCGAGGGCTGCGTGCGCAGGCGCAACGCGGGACCTGCCGGGACTTGGAGTCCATGGCTCGAGCAGAGAGGCGTGGTAGAGAGGGCGGGTGCGCGGGCGCGGCGCAGGGCCTGCCGGGACTTGAAGTCCACCACTGGACTCTGCGGCGGGGGCGAGGGCTGCGCAAAATCGTTCAGGGAGGCCGCTGGGCGGAGCCTGGCGGGACTGGGCTGCACTATTCCGGCCCAGGGTCGCTGTCCAAGGTGAATTCTAGAGTGCGGACCGGAAAACGGCCGGAGGCTTCTAGTAAAGATTACCTAGAGGCCGCGACACCGGGTCTCCACGCCAGACTCCACGACCGGCGGGAGGGCTGGGGTGGAGCTCCGCCCCACGGGGCTCTGCGGATCCCGAGCCGCCGGGACAGCCGTCAGCTCAGCCGCCCACCAGACTCTGCGAAAGAACAGCAGCCGCCGGGGAGAGCTATTTTCATCTCCATCTCTTCTCCTGGGCGTCTGGGAGTGCATCGTCCTCCCTATGGAAACTCGGGGTTGTTTCTAAACTCCCCCAAAGTGCATCACCCTGTTGGGTCTCTCTTCCTTGGTCAGAAGTGAGTTGCTCATGGATCCACATTACCTCCAGAAGAAAAAGGGGACCAAGAAGTGAGCCACTTGTATGCAGAAGACACTCTATATTGACTGAATTCTAGTAAATGGATGCGAGCCATCAGGCTTTGCTGTCCTTTACATAACGCTGGCCACAGAGCTAGATCTCCTGGGACAAAATTCTTGCCTGCCAGGAAGCCTTCTAATCTCTTAAGATTCCATAGATGGAGGCCGTCCTGTGCCAGTGAGGTCCAGGCCTGTCCCAGAGGGAGTTCTTTCCAACGCGATGTCTAGACCATTTATACTTGGCAATGCTAAGGCAGAGGTGCTGGGGCAGAAACAAGAATCATTGCCAGACGAGGATTTATGGCCATTTTGCACTATTAATAAGTAGTTGTGGGCACTGGCAAGCAAAATACACCAAAGGAAGTGCAGCCTGTCCTTAGAGAAGGTCGGAGGGGCCAAGCTCCTGGAAAGATGCGTGCATTGCAGAGTTCCAAGGGTGAGGGCCTCTGCGGAGGTGAAGGGCACTCAGCTCACTTGTAGGGCTTACCTGCAGTTACTGAGTGCGCTATTCTGACTCCAAAGAGCTGCTGTGTGTGTTTGGGAGCACCGTGGGGGAAGAAGGAGGCAGAATTGGAAATGGCAGTAAATGCAGGCGTGAAGAGAGAAAAGCTGTAGAGGTGAACAGAAGGAGGGCCCTTCAGGGGACTGGGCCAAGTGGGTCAATTTATTAGCTCCCACGTGCTTCAGGGAGCTGATCAGAGCAGCTCCAAGACCTGGCTTTCAGCAGCTCAAGCATACTGACACCCAGACCACTAGCTTTTGGTAGCAGGATCCAGAAAGTGTGTGTGTGTTTTTAAAGAACCTTCTGCCCCTGTTCTAAAGCTCAGAATTCTAAATTTTCAAATCTATAGTCAGCCAAAACGGAGCCAGAATGGTCAGCTTGCTAACCTAGAGCTTGCTGTGGAGGGTGGAACGTGCCTTGACAGTTTGGGCTGTTTCTGGTTATTTACATCATTCTCTTCTCTCTCACAGGAAACCTGGACAGTTTCACCCATCCCATGTTCACACCAAAGTGGCAGAAGGCAGAAAATTTCAATCTTAGCATCTTCCTGGGACAGGGATTTTTTACCAGGGCTACAGGGGGGATGGAGCAGGGCTGAGGGACAAACCTCCAGAGTGAGAACACACAGGGCAGCAGTGGTTGAGGGAGAGACAGCCAAATCCTTGGAGCAAAAGGGAAAAGATAAAAACTGCCTTACTGTGGGCCAGGAATCGGCCTTGGAGAAGGCCCAAGTCTCCACTGCCCAAATGGTGCTGCCTAGGGTACAACCTTTGGCAAGTGCTGAATTTACATTTAAATAAGTAATATCACATAAGATGCAAAATCCTGTTTCTTAGTTTCAGCAGGCATAGCTGTGTCTACCGGGATGGACTGTGCAGACTAGGACATTTCTCTCATGCAGAATCAGAGAGGCCTGTGTTTCCCTAGTGCATTGGTCAGCTTTGCACTGCAGTAGTAGAACACTTGAGGTAGTAACTCAGGAGCAGAAAGGTTTATTTTAGTTCACACCCAGGTGGCTGGTGGTGTGGAGACTCTGGTGAGGACAGCAGATCATGGAGGAGAGCACACACCAGAGTGACGTGCCTGCATTGTGGGCCAAAGGGCAGAGAGCAACAGGAGGGGCTGGTGGGCCCCATACCCCATCACAGGCAAGCTCCACTAGCCCCAGCAGGCCCTGATTCCTTCCAATATGCCTCACCGGGACCAGGGGAAAAATATGCCTCGCCAGCAAAGGGGAAAGTGGGTATGACATTAACCATGAAGCCCTAGCTGAAAGGAGGAGGCTGACCCGGACCACTGCAGGGCCTGCTATTCTCTCCTGGGGACCAGATCCGGGGCCATGTAGATCCTGAGACTGAGCCAGCACATGGGAGTGGGGCTGGAAGGGATGGCTCCACCTGCCACAGGTGGGAGAAAGTCATCTGAGGACCCCTCCCTTAGAGTCAGAAGACAACCAAAAGTGGATGAAAAGTGTCTTCTCAGGAGATGAGGGTGTGCTGGTGATGGTAGGGTCACCTGTTGTGATCTAGTTTGTGCATTTAGTGATCTAGTTTCTGCTTTTCCACTCTGAAGCAAAGGAGGAGGCTGACCACATTCAGGAAGTGTTGGATGCCCCTCTTGATGGGAGGTCTCTGCAGATCCCAGACAGTTTCAACTCTCAGTCCCCACCCTGGTTCGTTCCAGTCACACTGATGGGATTATAAGCCTGGAACCCTCAAGGCTGCTCCGGCCTGCTGTGTGAGGCCCTAACAGTAGCCAAGGGACACCAGGCCAGGTACCCTAGAGTGCATAAAGGCATCAGCAGGCAGGGCGCAAACAATGCCTTTCTGCTCTGCAACCTTAGACATAGAATGTAGCTTCTGTTCACAGTGATTCTTTTCATTTTCCTCATGGACTTGCAAAGACAACAGCATTTGAGTATTATTAGAGGTATCATTACATGTATCTTTCATTCATTATTCAGAAACTTTTCAAAATGACAATAGTTTATGTATGTGTGCACAGATAACATTTCACACTGTGTCAAAACTGCTACAAATAACTCTAAATGCACATTTTAAAATGTAATCAAATTTTTCCTCAAGAAGTGATAAAATTTATACCAAAAAAGTTAGGAAAGGTAAAATTAAATAGACACAAGTATCTGCTAGGGGAAACAATAAGTAGTAAATTAAAATAAATGCTGATGAGAAAATACAAATTATTTCTATTATCAGTAGTGAATGTGACACTTTTTATCAGTTGGCATGAAAGTCTACCTTCAAGTTTTAAAATTAACTGGATGCTTTAATTTTGAAATGAGATATAACAAAGATGACAACTTCCTATGATGTAGTCTAAGACCTTTTCTGCTATGCTTAAAATACGTCTTCTCAAAGCTAAGGTTCTGAGCTGCAAATACATAATTGCTTAGAGGGAGAAATGCTTTATTTTTCCCACTTCCTTTGATTACCTTTTAAAAATTTTTAAATTTTATTTTAAAGAGATTAAGGCAAAAGAAGACAGAACAAAGAAGATCAGAACAGAACAATGTAAGCAACACAGCACTTCACCACAAAACAACTGGATATTAACAGTAGCTACAATAATGTCTCTTTCTTTGAAATACCTTCACATACAATAGTATCAAACAAACAAAATAGTATAAAACCATTCAAGAGAATGAAAGTATTACAGGGTATTCAGAACTAACAGAAAATGAACAATGATTACTATATTATCTCCTTGTTCATAAAAAATTTTGTTTATACTATCACATATAATAAAATCCAATAAGATGCAACATGATAAAACTGATGGAAACAGAAGAACAAAAGCTTGGTGGGACTTTTAAAACAAGATGATATTAAATCACTAGCTATTATAATGTCTTGTTTTCTTCAAAATAGCTGTTCAGACCATCACAGACAATAAAATCAAACACCCCAGAATAAAACCATTCCAATTAATGAATGAAAACATTATAAGGCTTCAAAACAATATAATAGGGAATCATGATTACCACATATTTTTATGTATTCTTACCATTTCTTACACTAGACAAACTATTAGGTATTTATATATGTGTTTGATTTATTTTGCTTATGAGTATGATCTCAAGCTGTACCCACTTATTTATAAATATCTCAATGTGATCATTCTTTATAGCTGAGTAGTACTCCATTGTATAAAAATGCCACAACTTTTTTATCCATTCCTCAGTTGATGGACACTTGGATTGTTTCCAAGATCTGGCTATTACAAATTGTGATGCTATAAACATGGGTGCACATATATCATTGTGGTATGATGTTTTCAGTTCTTCTGGGAATATGCCTAGAAGTGTAATAGCTGGAACAAATGGTACTTCCAATTCTAGCTTTTTGAGAAATCTCCAAACTGACCTCCACAATGGTTGCACCAGTCTACATTCCCACCAACAGTGTAGGAGAGTTCCTTTTTCCCCACAGCCTCTCCAGCATTTGTTGGTTTTGCTTTTCTTGATCCTGACTATTCTTTCAGGAGTGAGATGGAATCTCAGTGTGGTTTTAATTTGCATTTCTTTAATGACTAATGATGATGAACATTTTTTCATGTATTTATTTGCCATTTGTATTTCTTCCTCTGAGAATTGTG